AAGGCAGGAGGGTGAATTCCCTGGAGTGGAGGAAGCCCCTGGAGGCTTTGGAGAGACGGAGGGCACTGCGTGCTGAGCCCTGTGTGGGTGTCGTTTCATGTTATCCTCCAGGAGCTCAAAGACGTGGTGCCGATATTATCCCCATTCTGCAGAGGTGGGAACTGAAGCTTGTAGAGACTGATACCTTGTTCAAGGTGGCACAGCTTCTGTAGTATTAATGGGGGATGGGAAGCTCCCCCATCCCTGTCTCTAGCCCCCTCCTAGAGATAAGCGTCACCTTCAGCATCTTCAATACCACTGTACTAGATATGGAAAAGCATCTTATACTCTGTGACTTGTTGTAATTCCACTCTGCATATGATCTAATGCAGGAGTGTGTGAGCTGGCAGGTCCCTGCAGATTGCAGTGCTCTCTGGGGGGCTTCCTGGAGGAGACTAAAGGAGAGAAGGTAGGGACAGCTGGAGGGGAGAGGTCTCTGCCAGGTGGGTGCTACCACCTGTCTATCCTGCCTTCTCTCTTCGGACACAGCTGCCCTGCAGTGCCTCCCAGAGAGTGTTGTGGATTAGCAAGAACAGCCTCGCCTGGCAGAACTTCCCAGGCTCATGGCTCATGCCGCTCTGGAAGGTTTGGCTCCGGTCGCTTCCTCCGGAGGCTGGCCCAGCTCTCAGCTGCCTGGGGCTACAGCTCAGCCCACCCAGGCCCTGCAGCCTTCTGGGGCCAGAACCAGATGCCCTGCAGTTCTCTGCCCTGGAATACCCTCCTCATAATCTTGCCTTTATCCCAGCGTAGTTTAGGCATCCCCTCCTCCAGGAAGCCTTTTCTGAGCCCTATGGGCTGGGTTTGGATCTCAGAGTATCTAAACCTGTATTGACCAAAAGAAATATAATGTGTATTACACATGCGAACCACTTATGTAATTTTTTCTTTATTTATTTAGTCCTCACCCAAAAATATGTTTATTGATTTTAGAGAGAGAGGAAAGGAGAGAGAGAAATATCAATTAGTTGCCTCCTGTACATGCCTTGACCAGGGATTGGACCTGCAACCTAGGTTTATACCCTAACTGGGGATCGAACCCATGACCTTTTGGTGTATGGGATGACACATTAACTGGGCCAACTGGCCAGGGCACCACTTATGTAATTTAAAGTTTTCTACTAGACACTTGAGAAAAAGCAAAAAGAAGCAGATAAAATTTTTCTTGTGATTTACTTAACCCTATGCATCTGAAATATTATCATTTCAATACAGAAAGGTATTAATGAGATGTATTACCTTTCTTTAAATATTCAAACTCTAGTGTGCATTTTGCACTTACAGCACATCTCAGTGTGCAGGTGCCACTTTCGAAGTGCTCGGCAGCCACCGGTGGCTGTCGCTGTGGTCAGCCCAGTTCTGGAGTCCGGGAGAGGAGCAAAGAGGCTGACTCTCAGGGTTTGGCACCAGGGAGACACGGCCCTGCTGTTTATTAGCTGGGTGAACTCCGGGAAGTCATTAAACCCTCTGAACCTCTGTTACTTCATCTGTGAAAGGCGCTAATGATTTTGATGCTGGAGAAGCGCTGCAAGGATTAAACAAATGAACGTGTGTTGGGTGCCAGAGTGAGTGCTCAGAAAGCGATGGTGGTTCCTCTTACTCTGGCCTCTTGTGTACTGGGTTTTAGGCCACAACTGGACTGATTGCGACTTCAAGGGCGGAGGCTGCCCGATTTCTCTCTCCTTCCTCATTGCCCATGTTCAGTGTGAACGTCACTACTTGATGAATGAAAGATTAAATCCTCAGGCTGGGAGTGCTTGCCACCCACCCTGCCCACCCTGGCTGCTGGGGGTCAGAGAACACTCACTATGTGGGGTGACCTTGGCAGAGACCACTGACTACATGGGGTGACCTTGGCAAGTCTGCTTTGTTCGGGACCTTGTTTTTCTCATTCAGAAGATAAAAGGGGGGTGGGAGGGGCATTGCCTGAAGTGTTTGGTTGAGTCTCTGCCCACAGTGGCCTTGGCAGGGGCCTGTGGGTTCACACTGTGTGCTTTGCCTTCCCAGCCAATGGAGAGGATCGTTTTCATTCTTTCTCTGGCTTTCCTGTATCCTGGCACTTTTGCACCATCAAGAATTTCTCCTACCTTCTAGGCAGACCAGAGAGGAGACAAGGGATCCTGTCCCTTTCCCTCTGCCAGCATGTGCTGACCTCCCATCCCAGCAACCCTGGGACAGAAGTAGGCAGGAAGGGTTGCTCCCATTTCACAGGTGAGAACACTGTGACTCAGAGAGGTCAAATGATCCGCCCCAGTGACCCAGAAAGAAGCCATGGAGCCAGGGCCAGAGGTAGAATTCAGAGTGAACTGAGAAGAGACACTCTTCATTGGGGGGGGGGGGGTCCTCTTCCTCCTGCATTTGTCCATGGCAGCTTTCGTGAGATAGGGCCCAGGGTTGGGTCCTGTTTCTGTGCCTCGGTTTCCCTGCCTGGGGAATGAAGGTGTAGTGATTTTAATTGATGCCTGTAGGGGTGGGGTGTTCAGAGAGTGCCCCTAGCCTCCACTGGCCCCAACCATATTTCTCTGGAAACAGTCATTGTAGGGTGAAGTAGAAAGTGTCTGGTCCACAGAGCCCGTGTGACGGTGCAGGTGTGACCTTGGACCTGTCACTCACTCCTCTGGGCCTCCGCCTGCCTACTGATAAAGTGAGAGGTGATGGTGTCTCCTCAGATGTAAAGGTTGCCATGAAAATACTTCACAAACTTGCAAGTGCTAAGAGAAGTATTAGTCAATAAAAATAATAATAACAATTTAGAAATAGAAATAATGTTAATGGAAGCAGCCTAATTTTTCTGTGTGGTCCTGCTGACCTGAAGTGAAACGGGCCCTGTGGGTATAAATCCAGAATGATGTCTGGGAATGTCCTGCCTTGGTCTTTGGAATGTAGTCTGGATTTGTCTGGGAAAGTGAGAGGCTCCATCCAGCTGAAGAGGGTGGGAAAGTGACCTTGCCCCAGGGGAGGAGGGGGAGGGCTCCTGCTTGGGGGCAGGAGGGGAGGGAAGGAGGGTCCAGGGAAGGAAAGGAATGGAGGGCTCTGGCCATGCAGCCCTGTGATGCCCACAGGGGCCAGAGCTGGGAAGACCAGCGAACAGAGGAAGCTGAGTCAATTTGAAATAGAAATTCTTGAAGGGAGGTAGTCAAGAATCTCTTAGCAGATGTGCATATGAAACAATAGGTTCATCTGAATAAATGGAGAGAGAACTGAACTCTGAGCACCCCCACCTGGCAAAGTGACATGCCCAAGGCCACACCCCAGAAAGGCCTGGGGAGTTCCTGGGAAGAACTGAATTGGGGAGGCTGGGGAATGAAAAGTCCAAAGCACGGGAGGAAATCCTGAAGGAAGTCTGCCCAGCAGGACTCTGGTCCTTCTGTGAATTGGCCCTGGGCGGGTTTGTCCAGCTCTGTCTCCTGTCTGGAGGGAGGACGTGTTCTCTGGGACTGGGAGGAGCTGCCTTCCTTCTGCGCTACCCACTCCTGAGCCTAGTGGGCAGCAGGGAGAGTGAAGGGACCGGAAGCTGTTTCTCGGGAACATCTGGAGAAGGAGTCCATTGTGTCAAGTTGGAGAAGAGAAGGCTTGGTTCAGGGATGGGGAGAAGGGACACAGTTGCTATCTTGGGCTTTCTGAGGGGTGCTGGGGAGAGGGCCTAGCCTCGTTTTGTGGAGGCCTTAGTGTTGATACTAGGGCCTCAGGCAGAACTTCACCATGATGGAGCAGCCCCTCTGGGAGGGAGGAGGGAGGGAAGGAGTTACCTGGCCTGGAGCGAGGGGGCAGAGATAGATTTGGGGGGCACCCGCAGTGCAGCACTGGGGCCGGATGGCTCAGCTCACGTCTTCCCAGCTTTGGGCGCCTGTGGTTTTCAGCTGGTGGATTCTGTGGTGCCTAGAACTATGGCTGGCACATAGTAGGTACTCAGGAATTATTTGAAGAGTTGAGAGAATAAATGTGCAAGCCAGGGGGTGGGGATGGTTAGGGAGTAGGGGCCATGTGCGCTGCAGACGCAGACCCGCAGGAAGACATTTTTGGGGCTCGTGCAGTGGGTTACCCCCCATTTTCTCCCAGCCTTCCCATAGAGAACTGGGACCCCTAGAGACAGCTACATCCATCCCTTTCTTTCATTGCCTGCAAACTGAGGAAAGCACTTTGCCTAAAGGTATTGGTCGAGCCAGGGCCTGGACTGGAAGCCAGGCCCTCTGCCTCCCAGAGTCCTCTGCTGCTTGAGGTCCTGGCCTGTTGATTGACTAAGATGTAGGTGCAGCAGTTGAACCAGCTTTTTGAGTGAATGGTGCTGGAGGGGAGGAACAGGGCTTCGCTTAGTTTTGAGCCACAACTCCACGTCCCAGGCCCCTTGGTCCCTTCTACCCCCTTCCTGCAGCCTGGGTGCACACCCAGTATGTGCTCACCCATGTCCATGGGCCCAGTCCCGGCTGCTACACTTATGGTTGTCACCCACACACATGTGGGCAAATGTACACTTACACACACTCAGTCACACAGGATCCCAGGAGACATTTGCATATAACCTCCTCCTGGAGAGGGGAGGAGTCTTGAGTCTGGGAGAGACGGTCCTGCCCTGCTGCCTGGGAAGCAAGGGTGTCTGGCTAGGTGGGCTGGGAGGCCCGCTGAGACTGAGTCACCGCTGCTAAGTCAGGGATCCTCCCCCTCCCTCTACCGTCCCCCTTCCTCTCTCCCTGCTGAACCCCCAGGAAGGGCTGGCCCAGCTAGGAGGGTCGAGGCTGGCTCGGCCCGGGTGGAGGCAGTGGAGACCCGAGAGTTGGCTTCTGATGCGCGGTCCCGCAGTGATCCGGAACTGCCGCTGTGGCAGTCAGTCCCTGGAGGGAGGGGGAGGCCTGGGAGCCTGAGCGATAGAGCGGGAGAGAGGGAGACGGGCAGAGAGGAGGCGGAGGCAGGGGCAGGGCGGCCCGAGGGAGCAAGCAGGCGCGCGGCGGCCGCTCCCGGGCTGGGCGAGGAGGCCGGGCGCGGGCGGGGGCTGGCCACACGTTGGGCGCCAGGCCCGGGGCTGTGGGCACAGTGCCCAGCCCCCGGCGCACGCCGAGCCGCCGCTGCTGCAGTCGGCATCCATCAGCGGGCGGGGGTGTCACGGAACAGGCTGCTCCGCAGAGCTCGCCGCGCGCCCCGCCCCGAGGCCTGCCACCCGGAGGAGCCGAGGGGGCGCCTCACACCCAGACTTCCCGAGATGGGGACCTCCAGGCTCAGGTAGGCACATGGGGGAAGATCAGGTGGAGGGTGGGGGGCGGCGCTGCTCAGCACTTGTAGGCCCAGTCTCTAGCCCTGGGGGAGGGCTGGGGGCGAGATTGGGAGGAACTGAGTTTTCAGGCGGTTGGTCCCCTGGCCAGTGTGGGGGTGGTCCTTGCTCTTTCTCCCTGCCTCCCTGCTCTGCAGTTTCCCCAGGGCCCAGAGAGAGAGGTGGGGAGGCTGGGCTGGTGCTTGCCGTAGGGATGGAAGGTTGCTGGGCTCATCCCACGGTCCACTCTGTTCTCTGAGGCCACTTCTGCCGCCTCCGTGGAGGTCGTGTGTTCTCAGGGTCTCTCCCACCCGGCTTCAGGTGCTGCAGGATGGTCTCTTGGCTTGGCAGGAGGCTGGAGGCTGGGAGGCTGGGGTGCTCCTGCCCTTGCCCTCACCCCCAGGGTACAGACGTTTCCCCGCTCCAGGCTTACTTTCCATCCCACCCCCTTCCAAGTCTCCCCAAACTGGGGGATGGGCCTTACCCCCAGGATGTCAGTGGGTCTGGCTTAGCATTGGTTTGGCAGTCGTTGTCCCCACTAATTAGAGGGAGAGGACTTGAGGGCCCCAGTTGTGTCTGGCACCTTCATACTTGGAGATGTCCAGGGCCTCAGAGGCTAGGATCTTGGGGATAGACCCGGGGTTGTGTATGGGGGGGGGGGTTCATTAAGGTATTTACTGGGTGCTGAGGCCCCGTCTGGCAGAGCCGTGGCCTGCAGAGATCCATGCGGACCTTGAGGGACTGGACAAGGACTAGGAAGGAGTTCTGAGGATGCTGGTCTCCCTCCGCTGCTGGCCACAGTCCTTGCTTCCCCCCGGAGCTCTGAGGATGCACTGGTGGGGGAGACACCGCCACGTGGTCCTGCCTTCACCTCTGGATCTGTGCGGCACCTCCTCTGTACCCAAAGGTGGGAGTGTAGGAGGGCTGGGCTCAGGACCTCACTGGGGCCTCCGTCTCTCTTGCCCCTACCTCCAGCACTAGGAGTCTTTTAGAATCAGAGCAGTTGGGCCAATGTGAAAGCCGGGGACTGGGATGGTGCCCTCAGAAGCTCCTGGAAGACAGTGCTGCCTGTCCTGGGCAAGGGTGTGGAGAGTAGAGGCGGCCATGTGCCTGCCTGTCCATCCAGTCCTCCAGATGGAGCCTGCAGCAGAGGCAGCCTGTGCCAGCCTCCTCTCTGAGCCGCCGTGGCCCGTGGAGGCTCTGCCAGCTCCATGCAGGGATAGAGCAGGCTTCTGCTGGCCAGTCTGAGGCTACGTCTGCCCGGGGACACCATGTACCGTATTTGTGGTGTGCAGAGCATGGTCCCTTGAGGGGCAGGCACCTGAAGGCAGTCCTGGAAGAGATCAGTGGGCACTGTTCCTAGTAAGACCCTTCCTGGGCCACATGGCTGTCCCCTGGGCCCAGTTCCGTGAGCTTCATGGAGGGTTGCTTCCACGGAGCTCACACAAGAACAGTGTTTGGTCTGTAGTCGTCGGTCAACAAATATTGGAAGGTCGAGTGAGGTCTAGACTAGAGGAAAAGTGACTTGTCCAAGGTCATGTAGCAGCTGAGCAGGAGAGCCAGCACTAGTGTACCAGGTCTTCTGTCTCTTGGTTTAGGGCTCTTGCAGCCCCAATGCCTGCTTCCCTGTTGTGGTGGCTGTCCCATACCCAGGGCTCTGACATGGGCTGGGCCTTGTAGCCTGGAGCTTGTGGCTACGCCTTAGGAGGGGCCTTACACTGCCCCCCCCCCAAAGCTTTTGCTCCCAAATGTGAGGAGGAGAGGCCAGGCTGCCCCATAGATAATGGGCCAGGACTGAGGCCACGGGTAGTCAGTAGCACTGGGCCCTCTCGGGAGTGTGCAGAGCTGAGAGGACACCAGGTATCCAGGGGTGTCCTGGGCCTGAGCCTGAGCCCCCTGGGACAGTGGAAAGGGTCTCAGCTAGGAGGTGGCCCTGCATTAGCTTCAGCATGGACATCACCGTGGGTCCCCCTGAGCTTGTGGGTCCCCCATTATTGAAAGGGGGTAATTAGTCTCTACCTGGAGTAAAGATTATAAAACCAGAGTGAGGGTGCACCAAGTACTTACACAGCGCACTAGGCGCTTTGCATCAGCTCACAGCAGCCCGGTCAGGTAGATGCTATCACTATCTGCTTTTTAGAGATGGGAAACCAGGCTCAGAGAAGTCGTGTCACTTTCCCAAGGTTACACAGATGGAAAGGGTGGGGCTATGCAGGTCCAGAGCCCGTCTGTCTACCAGGACGTTATACCAGGGTCAGCGTGTGGGAGAACCAGCTGGGTATTCAGCAGAGTCAGACACCTGGTTTGCCAGGGTGGGTCCAGGCAGAGCGGTCTGTGTGTGAGGTCTGTGGGGCCAGGTGGTCCTGTGGCCTCAGTGCTTCTGTGGTCCTGAGGGGCAGGGCGAGAGAGGTACTAGCTCGGAGGCCTGAGGGAGAGGTTGGCCTTGACCCTTTGCTTCCTGACCAAGTCTCCTAGAAGCAGGGATGCTCTGGATTCCCTGCCACCATTGGCCATTAGGGAAGACTGGCCGGCCCTGACACTCACCCCATGCCACATTTGGTAGGTCCCCACGGACTGGAAAACAGAAAGGCAGGAATGCAGGGCACCAGCTAGGACTGTGTGGAGGTGACCTGAGCCTGGGCGGGTGGCTTGGGAGTGGGAGTGGGCTGGTGCCACTTCCTCTGTGCGTGGGAGGCTTGTGGGTAAGACCAGTAACAGCACTTACTGAGCACTTATTACCTTCCAGGCACTGTTTTAGGGGCTTACCTGTGTAGCTTATACAAGCTTCACAAACCGTGTGAGATAGGAATTCTTCTTCACACTTTACAGATTGAGGGAAATGGGCTTCGAAAGGGGAAGACAGTTGCTCAAGGTCACACATTTAGGTCCCAGGGAAGTCAGAATTCAAATCTAGGCAGCATGGGTCAGAGCCATGTTCCCAAAGGGCTTATGGTCCATCCGGGAGACAGACATGACACAGGAAAGCAAGAGGGGGAGCTGTGGCATGCGCGAAGCATGGGTTCCTATTTCGGTGATCGGAGAAGGCTTCTGGGCACCAAAGACCAAGTGGAATTCTGATCGTTTTCGGGGGAGGGCATCCATTCCCCCAAGTCAGAGGGGAAGGAAGTTGGGATGCCTTTGAAGAAGAGCAGATGTCTTGTGTGCTTGGAGCAGATGGTGCAGGGGGCTGGGGGTGCTGGGAGGTGACTCAGAAAGTCAGCTTGTGTTTGGGTCTTTTGGCAAAGCTCTGAAATCCACCAGATCTAGGCTCTAGTCACAGCTTTGCTGTGCACTCGCCACGTGGCCTTGGGCACACAGCTGTTCTGAGCCTCGGTTTCCTCATCTGTAAAATGTGGATAAACACAGTACCTCACAGGGTCCGCATTTGGTTGTTGTCACGTAGGGGACCTAGCGCTGTGCTGGCACATCACCGGGACTCGGTCAACAGTACTTCTGCTCACCTTCCATCTCTTCGAAATGTCAGCCTAAGGCGTTTCCACTTGACAGGAGCTGGGAGGCCCTGGGAAACTGAAGGTGTCTGGTCTGCATAGACCGTGCAGCGGGGCATGACAGAACTGTGTTTGGGAAGGTCCCCTTGACAACTGTAAGAACCACAAGGAAGGGTGTGGATGTGGCCTTGCGGGAAAGAGCCAGCCCTGTGGACTTGGAGGGCTGGGGCGGGAAGAAGGTTGCGATCACAGTATGATGTCTGTCCCCTCGGGTGGTATGTGGCCCAGCTGCTGGGAGCAGCTTGGGGTGGGGGAGCCAACCAGGGCCATGGCTTCAGTTATGGCCTCACGAGTGTAAGATGAAGGACTTATTTAAGGTTTTGCAGCATCTTCTTTGTGATCTGCCTTTTTTTTTCTCTTCTGAGCAATTTTCTTTGCATGAATCCCCATCAGAGCTTCCTCTATAACAGCAGCAAATTGGGACTAAGTGCCTGACAATGGGAAGATGATTGAGAACATTTTGGAACCTCCAGTGGATAAAATAACACGCAAACGTGGACAGCCACAGACATCCTTATGCTGTAGGGTGCGGAGCTGTGCACTGGTGAAGCTCCTTTGCGTCCTTTATTCGTTTCACCGCCCATGTCCCTGTGCCAGAGGCGGGACAGGGGTTAGATCCTTCCTGCACATGAAGAGATTCAGGCTGGGCTCTGGTCTCCATGAAGGCAGGGTTCCTATTTACTCATTGTTGTACCCTCAGCTTGTAGCTCAGCAATTTGCAAATGCTTGTTTGGTGAAAGAATTGTTTGTGTGAAGGAAGCAGAGGGGAAGTGACCTGTCCAAGGTCATGGAAATGGGAAGACCCAGGATCTGAGTCTCCTCATCCCTACTTCATGGGTGGAGAGGTTCCTAGCGAGGACTTGGGAGGCATGCACACCCGGGACTCCAGTCTAGTTTCTGTCCTTGTAACGGAGACGTGTTGGCAAATCTGCTCATCTGTTCAAACCTCAGTTTCCCATCTGGAGCGTGGGTGGTCCGAGCACCACCATCTAGGGTTGTCGTCAGGACTGAATGATTTACAGCATGTGGAGCTCCTAGTGCAGTGTAACTCCTGTGAACGTTGGCTGTGAGGATGTAACAACGTGGAAATATTCTGATACCATGAATGTTAAATGAAAAAAAAAACAACCCTACAGTTCTGAGCACTCAGATTAAAGGGGTGTAAAGTCGGGGACAACTGTAAACAGAGATCGTACTCAGGCAGGAATGGAGTTTGAGCAGGTACCACGGGAAGTAACCAAGGTTAACCAAAATAAATCTTTTTTTAAGTATTACGTTTGTCTTTTCTTAGTTTTAATTATAAAAGAAATATGTGAAAAATTCTAATAATTCAGAAGTGTATTCTCTCTTTGGCCCCCAACCAAAATCTTTCTCTCTAGAAGTGGCCAATAGCAGCGTGGGCTGCGCCTTCCCTGGGTATTTTCTGTCCTGCGTGAGCGCACACCAGAATGGCAGTAAATTGC